TCTTCTTTATGAATTGGTTATTTATATCGTAAACAAAAATTCGAGTAGACAGATTGCAGTATTAATTAATTGAAAATGTGCTGTTTTTTTAGATAAAATTTATACGATTCGTATCATTTTACATATACTCACACACAAACTAATTTTAAAGATCTTGTTATTCGTGTCATTTTCAGTATTGCGGAATTAAAGATTATATTATTTTGTTGTATAGGTATATAGCTACCAGAAAAATGGAACTGATAACCTTCGTCCGCGAATCTAAAAATCAACTTTATGAAAAACAAACAAAAACAAATTGGCAGATTAAATATCAAGATGTTATACAACGAAGCAAAGGTTATTAAAACAAAAAAATATAACTTGAACCTTTCATAACTTTCAATCGGTGCCCTCTCTTAAAGGAGAAAAACATATTGTATAATTCTTAAATTATAAAACTTTTTCTGCGTGTTTCCTGAAAAAAGGTCAAAAGGGAGGATCAAAGCCCATTTATTGCTTTCAATAAAGAAATTTATATAATTAATTCTAAGAGACATTTTCTATACTAACAAAGCCGTAGCTAAAGAGCTACTCAAAAAATGGCTAATTGCTGCTCTTTTATAATGTCAATTAAACTTTATGTTTATCAAAATGATGCGTTGGCATTTATTTGATCTAGTACCCGCTGGACCTTCATAATTGGACCTTACCTACACGATAGGTCTTATTCGACCTCCTATCAAGAACATGGTACCCACTAGATCTTCATACACCATAGGAACTCTTATCTCATTGGACTATTTGGCTAATTCTTCTGTAGAAAGTATAGTAGTGTAAAAAAGTAAAATTCTTAAAAAAATGGTAAATAATTTTAACTTTTTATGTGAACTTGCTCAATATATAAGGTCAATCGTAGGTTCATAGCTATCGCTAAAGTAACCATGATCTTTTACTAAACTAAATATATAATTGAGGTTCTAAGTGCCTTCATTCGCCTATTATCATAATTATTAGTCTAGGTCCCCACTACTGGCACTTGACTCCCTAATGACCCACAACGCTAACCACGAAGATGCAGCTGGTACCAAGGGCTTAACATGCCTGCCGAATCTCGGAGGAGCTCGAGTAATAATGGTCACCCATTCCATGGCCGACCACTTCAGAACGTTGCTTATCATCTACGATCGCAATCTCCTCTATATTGCTTCTAGACACTTATTTCATAAAAGAAACGAAAACAGTGCTGTATTCCTTTTTACTTTTCTGAAATATCTGTATTTGTTCTTAAAAACATATTCCGTAGCATGAAGATATATAAACCAGATGCTACATAAGTAATATAAAGTTGGAAAAATTAATAAAGAGGAAACTTGGGCAAGCCACTTTTTAGGTGAGTTTGTAAAATGAATGGAAATAAAATTGTACCGCACAGGTGCGCTCGAAACCTTTGGCGATATTAAAATTTTTTGATCATCCCGAAGCGAAGCGATACACTGGTGAACTCATAATGCTACGAGTACTTGTGTTAAGGCATTTCATTTCCTTTACATTCACTTACCCATTTAGCTTCACGCTATACCCCTTGATGGATGACAGTATACCTTGAGACTGTAAAAGTATGGGATGGATGAATAAATAGATCTATTGGTAATGCAATATAACAGCAAGATGTATTAAAGTCGGAATAAGAGTAATTAAATACGCGTATCATAATTTACTATTCGTATACCAGCAAACATTTGCTACCAAATGTCCTAACATTTTTATTTTTACCCTTGGAAAAATAAACTCAAATGTATAATATCATGAATACACTATTAACACAACAGCGCTTAACGCGTTCGGAAAAGTAGTTTTCTCGTTTGGTTATTCAGATGGAACAAAAAAATCGCAATTGTAGAATTAAGTACGATCGCTTTGCCCGATTGTCGGATAGGTTACCAAAAATTTACTATTCCATAAACTATCTACTCGGAAAACATGTTAATCCGTTGGTTTCGGCTGCAGTCACAGTCATTGTAATAGTACCTACCAATCTGCACTGGGACCACGCGACGGGTACATTAATAGTAGTAGGTACAACAAAATTATCTGCAAAACAATGTTATGTAATAATTACCGAAGGTAGCAAAATGAAAGGTATAAGTAATTTAAATTTAATCTTTATTTTGTATGCGCTTAAACAAGAACTTGCAGCGCTCGGTAATCAAACTGTAGCGATGCCACGAAGGAATTGAATCACTAATAAAAAGGAACGAGATTATTTTTTATTTCTGATAGAAATTCAATCCAATCTATCCATTTGGTCACGCATCAATAAAGTCACAACGGTGGCGTCCCGATCCGAGTATTGTCCGTTTATTCGAATTCTATTGTGGACACTTTTACAGGTCCCTCGCGTCCCGATCCGCCGTGTACGACGAGCGCAACCCTTTGTCGACAACCTTCTCAAATTCCCATTCGAAGAATTAATCATCGGAGTTTTTGTATACACTTTTTACGATAGTAATTAATTTTGCCTTAACTAACTAGGTGTCGATTGCGTCAAAAATCGTTAAAAATAATGAGCGACTTTCTATAATTTGTTCAAAGATATAGAATGTCACAATTAATAAAGTTAAAAAACGCACTGAGTAATTAAAAATGGAAACGCGGTCCGTTTTATGCGAATGATTAAAACATTCATGTGTCAGATCGCTTGTTAGAAATAATTCAGCGACAGAATAAATAATAATACAAAGAAAACAAAATCTTAACAAAAGCGAAAAAATCAATAATACATAACGAAAGTAATCAAGTCTGCGCCTTAAAGAGTAACAGACCGTTGACAATAAAGCATTCTGTACAGTTTTTGCTCATTCATAATCAAATGGCAATTTTAAGCAGAGAAACGGTCCTAGACAAAATAGTTGTCTGCCTCTCCTGCAATCATCACTCAATATAGAAGCGCTTTTTGTCATCACCGCTGTAAATTCGTTATACGTTTGTTTCTTTTTAAACAAATCGATTCACGTCCACAATGCTGGGTCCTTTTTTGTCATTCCATGACCATTCAATCAAAACGAACTAGTTCTTCTGAATGTTTTTATGTAATTACAATTCTCCGTGAAAGTTAATTTTATTGTTGACTCGGTATACCGGATTCTTTGTTGTGCTACAGGTAAGTAGATGCTACCGCAAAAACATTGTAAATATTTAGTTGCAACTTAAAACGAAGTCGGGGTACAGACATAGAGAAACATTTTGTTAAGCTTAAGCAGTGAACCATTATATTTATTTCAAAGAACAAATAGATTAGAGCACTCAAAGGAACCGGCAATTCTGTTTTAGTAGAGGCAAATGCAAAAATATTACGTATTCAAACAGACCTAATGGGACATTTAGGGGTGGCAGCGAAGTGAAACGGCAAAGGCCGAAGCTTTTAAGTGTATAATATTTAATTGTGACGCCCTAGGCGTATAATCTCGCCCGGGATAATAGGTTTCTGTTTCCAGACAACCCTCAACAGCGACACTTGCGTCGCCCCGGAGCCAGTCTCCACTGAAACAAATCGGATTATAATTGAGTTTTTTTTAAGCTACGAATATTTTTATGGTGCAATTGCGTTTTCCTATTGTTTGAATGTCGTTTTCCGTGACGTCACTTCTGAAAAGAAATAATATTATGATTGTAAGAGAATATATTATTTTACGGAGTCGCAATCTGTGGCACATTTTATTTAAAACATACTTACTGATATTTCGATTTGTCCACCTATAACTTTTACGCAATAATATATACTGTTTTGAGGTACCCAATTCACAAAAGTACAGTAATCGGTACCACAAAAGAACACAAGGCGCGTTTATTTTGTGCTTTTATAGAACATCTATTTATGTACCTACTTTTCAGAACAAAGTTTTTAACACAAAAACTTTGTTTGAAACTGGATCACGGGTTTAAATACCATAATATTTAAATACCACATATTATTATTTAATTACCACATAAATAGTAATACAAATACCCTCATAGTTTTTACACTTTTCACGCCAACACTTATATAAAAGCGCGTCGCACATGGAATGAGAAAAAAAATTAGGCTGTAAATTTGTACAGCCAAAAGCATAAATTGTAAACGAATATCGGGATGAGAAATTGAATTCCCGTTGAGAAAATGTTCCATCAAAGTAAGCAAAAAACGCGATTCCGTTTATATCTTTTATATCTCGTAAATTGCAGGAGGCGGCAAGCGTTGCATGAAATTGAATAAGCATATTTCGTAAAACGTCGACGTTTTGGGAGACAATTGCCTTACCTCACCTACTCTTGCCCCTTCACGAACTTTGTCAATTTTCCTTGGAATCTTATTAGAGCATCTTCATTCGAAACCTTATTTTACGTTCTTGCCTTAACCTTTATTTGTTTCAAAACATTTCTAAACGAGTTGACAACAATCATTACAGTAAAAATCAAGAACAAAACAATAAATCATTCTGTGGAAGACTTATTCAAAATACATGTTACTAAATTTTACAATGGTATGAGTCCCAACCCTTCCATGAATTTAATAATAACCTTGCTCGTACGTTTTTAAAGGGAATATCGGTTATTAAATTAGAAAGTGCCATGCAGATGCGAAGTCCGTTTGATGTCAGTTGCCTTTCCCGAAGCACTAATGACATTTTCCGGGGTAACACACTTGTACTTTGACGTAGGGAATGTGTGGAACTTAATAATAATTACATCTCAAAAGACATTTGGAGAGAGAGACGAGAACAGTAGGAGCTAACGACTCGTTTGTAAATGTACTTCTTATCAATATAATAAAACTAAATTTTTTCGGAACAAAATCTCTTTTTTTTGAGTAACAATCTTATGCTGTTATAAAAAAACCGCTGTTTTTATAACATTAACATTTTCTTGTATTATTTTTAATAACACGTTAAGCGTGCAGGCATCATCTTACCATTAGGTTAGAAATAAAAACTTTAAATCTTTAATAGAAAATTTAAGAAATGTATTTCCATTGTCAACAGAATCCTTGGCGCAAGAGTTAGAGATGGAACGCAAGTCGCGGCAACAGGCCATGGAAAGAGACGTGAAGAGCCCCTTGTCTGAACGCGCCGGCTACTACAAGAACTCCGTGCTCTTTAGTTCGGCCACTTAGCTGCAGAACCAGGGGGGCAACGACCTCCCCGAAAAACACGATAAAGATGACGACAGAAAACCCATCATCAATGTCAAACCAGAGTTCAGGGAAAAGTAGCCCTCGGACGCGACGAAACAAATGATGTTCATCCGATAGTTTCTTAAGATTTTTTGTGAAACAGATCTCGATGAAGTAGACACTCCTCTTATTGAGATTAATATGTAAATATTGTTATGAATTCGAAGTAAGAACGTAGATTTCGTGGCGTTAAAACGAAGTCTGATGGACTCTTCTTCCATAGTGAAATTTGTAAATATTTCTTTTATTACTATATTATAAGGCATTACGGTTTTATCGACGATTCAAGTAATTTATACGTCATATTTTAATCTTTTATCAAAGTACCTTTAAACTTATTGTTAAATGCCATATTTGTGTATTAAGTGTTTCATTTTAAATTTTTTGTATATTTTTAACGAAATCATTTACTAAAATTATATTTTTTGTACCTACACATTCTTACATATCATAAGACTCTTGGATGTTTTGATTGAAACAATATTTGGAATTGATCTAAGACTGCTTTTTCGAGATTTTTTCCAAAGTTGACCCAACAAATACTGATCGGTTAATTTTGCTTGCTAGTCTCATGAAACTCTGTAGGTAATTGATAAGTGTTTGAGTTCCTACGGTATTTTTGTTTATCAGTGTGAAGGACCATATCGTCAGTAAAACTGCAAAGTAATTTGTAGGTACACGTTTTTATCATAGAAAAATAATTACTGTATAAAAATTACGTTCAATACAAAAACGGCGATGATCACTCGCTATCGTGTAATTTATTCAATTTTAGTGCAATGATTAGATTATAACTGAATTAGTGTAATCTCTTTAACCATAAAATGTACTATAATTAAAGTTAGTCATTTTAAACGATAAATTTTTACAATACTATGTTGACTGAAAGCAAGGTGGTTTTTGCATCTATCGTCATTTAAGTATTCCTTTGAATTTGATGACGTAGATGCTGTATAAATAAAATTAAAACGCTGCATCTCATATCGCGCAGTCGATGTATATTAGTTAACGATAAGAGCCGTAGTATTAACATTATACATAATAAAGTATAAAATAGCGTTATTTATATTGATGCTTAGTTATCGGGACGACTTTGAATGTCTAAAATAGTTCATTTAAGATTTAGAAATTGTGGCGGGCGAAATATTGGCGCTTGGCTATTCTGAATGTACATCGCGGTACAAAAAATTTTGTTTATTGGAAAAACCCAAATCATAGTTTGCATATAATTGGTGGCTTTGTATAGTCAAGCGCTGATGTGAATGATCGCTTCGTGCAATTAAATAATTTCATATTATCTGTAATGGGTAATGCGACGTAATGAATAAAACTTAGTTGTTACTATAAATGTTTAGAGACATGTGTGACTGTATAAAGAGAGTGAATGTGACAATTTTGCATCTCTTTAATTTCTTTGCACTACTCAAATTGTTGTTGACAATACTGTGGCCCATGCACAAACTTTGACAGTCAAGGAGCCAGTTTGTTCTCACGTCCGGTAGTGGCGCTGCTTAGTTTCCATAGAAACTTTGATGATGCGATACGATAACAGATATGTCAAAGTTCGTGCTTGGGGTACTGGAGAAAAAACTGTGTTAATTTATGAAGACATCACGCTATGAGCTGTTGTTGCGCTCTTTCCCTTTCTAACGCAGAGAAACGTCATAATTAAAATGTCGTAAGTTGACGGAGTTCGTCTTCTCGACTCTAGCCCCCTTATTAATAAACCAGGAATAAGCTTAGACTAGTTACGCCGTGTTTTGTTCATGTCACTCAAACGCCATTTGTCATTCAATGGAAAGAGACAAAACATGGAGTAATTAATCCATGCGTGGTCTTCGTTTATTAATAAGGGGGCTTAAGTTCTAGAGTATACTTGGCTGTAAAAATCTTGAGTAAAACCATAGACAAACAAACTTGCGCAGTCGGCGTTTCTGAATGTAATATGTCTACTGCGCAGTCTTCTTTGTCCATGGATTATGTTCAATTTGTTTGCCGAGGTATATATGACGGTTCTGTGCGGTAAAAATGATGCGGTAATTAAGACAAAAAACCACAAAATAAGTGGTATTGTCTTTAGAATAGAAATCTTTTCGAGGCTTTTTCTTGTTGTAAATTATGCTTTTACATCCTGATCGTTAATAGTAAGCAATCTGAAAGCGAGTATTATTATTTATTATTTCTATTATAATTATGATTAATTTACTTAAAATTGTGTGTGTGCCTTGTATCGTAGATGAAAATATCAAGATTAAAAATGAAAATTATCATTTTGTGGTTTCTTTTCAACATCCTTATAACGAAACGCTTCTTAAGTAAGTTTTGTACTTACATGGAAAGCGTATCAAGTGTCAGAATGTAGTAAAAAATCTACACTTTATTAATAGGTATATATTAATATAAAAGTTTGTATCTGGAAAAACATATTAAAGTAAACATATTCTCATATGGTTGTTTTGAAGACATGCATAAAGGCATAACTTCGTAGATACTAAATTAATTTCCTTTTTTTTTATCAAAGTCACGAATATCGATTCATATAATTTTCTCACGAACATAATAATGAAAGAACAGAAAAAAGTAATAGTCTATGAAGTTACGGTTTGAAAACAGTGGGCGGACGGACAATCAAATTATGTTATTCATAATAACTTAAGTATTCAAGAGACATGGAAATTATTGTCCCAAGTCAGCATTTAAGACTTGTCCAGAACAATAACTTAAGTATCGTCACAATGCAGCGTTTAAATCTTCTCAAAGAGGTCAATCAAGCTTCTGGTTTGATTGATTCGTGTTAATCCTCTAATTTAGACGCCATCAATTGCCGAGTAGTTTGTACGCCGGGTTTCATGGTGTTTCCGACTCGATAGGTCCCGGGTTCAAATCCCGGTGGGGGCTGATGTTTGTGTGATGAATACCAGTATTTGTACCCCATTCATGGATGTTTAATATGTCTTTTTCTATATAAATATACTTATATATGTACAGTATATGTATTGTAGCCGTTACCCTAGCATCCCATAACACAAGCCTTACAGTGCTTACTTTGGGGTTAGGCTAATAGGGATGATGACTAATTTTGTTTTTCTTCGTTTATCAGGTAGATTATCAAAAAGTATTGGACACGTATTTATTCTTTTTTTACATAATATAAACATTGCAGAGATATATTGATTTGAAAAGTCGCATGACGTCCGTTTTGGTACACTTTTAAGTGAAAATTCACTGAAAAGTAACGTCACGAGCCCCTACTCCCAAACTTTGATGCGCTATAACTTTGCCATTTTTTGGTTGATTGCCCAAAGAAAAAACATGTGTCCATTATTTTTTGATCATCTAACTGACGGACTAAATAGAATTTCGTTTGCTGTACCCCGTCATCACCCCTATTGGTGTGAGTGTTGGAATTATTTATTCTTATTATTATTTATTATTATCCTATGTTGTTTACACTCAGCCTTATGCACGCACAATGGAGTACGAATGGCTCGTATCGAAATCCTTCGTCCATGCTCGTTAATCATCAAATAATATGTCATGCTGAAGAGGAGCTCAATGGCGCAGGTGGTTAGCGCGTTCGGTTTGCAATCGTGGAAGTTAAGTAACTGTGCATTGGCTGGTAATTAGAGTTGTAACAAAAAACTTAGTATGTCTCTTGAACTCCTCCGTTCTTAGGAGGGCATGTTAAGCCATTGGTCCCGCCTGCATCCGTTGTCGTTAGCACCCACCAATCCGCACTGGGCCAGAGTGTGTTCATAGCCTAATCAGTCTATTCCATCCAATGGGAAGGCCCGTGTCCCAGTGGGGACATCAATAGGTTGATGATGATGATATGTCACCCTGCAACACCTTAGATGTTCTTCAGTCAAATGACATACTGCGTGACGCGAGAGGACGCATTTAAATAAAATTCATACACCATGAAACGAAATGATAGCAATCTGCTTAACCAATAAAACTACAGTTCCATAAAGCAGAAAAGTCATAAGGACACCCCGACTTCGTATCTCGCGTAGGTACCGTTCGATGGCCGTTTTAAATCCTGTGAAATCGGAAAACTTCATATTTATTGCTAATAGATTTTCGACCGGGTTGTTCGGGCTTCAATTTTATTTTGTCCATATGAATGATTTTTATATTTGCCCCGGGGCGGGCGGGCGTTGACGCACCATTCGCCCTTTCTGATTTCGGACTGACGGCGCCACTGACCCCGCTCGAGATGTTCTGAAAATGTACCTACACGTTATAAAAGTTCCTTGGTTGGTTTGAGTTAGAAATGAGTTTGATTTCACGCGAATCGAATACGTATTTACGTGGACAATCTTATTTTAACTCAGTCAGCAAAACATGATATTATGTTTGTATATTATTATCATGAATTGAAATAAAGTCGAACACTCACACTAAAGCTAGCAAATATTTTACCGACCAGTAGTTAAGTTAGGTTAGGAAAGACCAATTTCATCACCATATTTAACAAAAAAAAATGTAAGGGTAATGTACGTAAGTAACAGATTTACACATTCCTAATCATTCTGCACTACAGCTTGATGGATCTATATATTTATTATATTTTTTAAGCATTTAACTGCTACATGTTTTAATCTAAAGTAAATTATACTAGAAAATATTCCACGCGACCTTAATGGCCGTGTCGAATTTCTTTTAGTATTTCTTAGCCTGCAAGGCAGTGTCACCTCTTCGCATTGTAGATAATCTACAATGTCAAACCTTCCTGTCCTTTCCTTTACAAGTAAGCGGCTGCGCTGCGTTACGTGAGGCTCGGAGCGGGCGTGCGCTTGCAGTAAATTTTCTAAATCTCGATTCAACTAAAACTAGATGTAATCCATAGAAAAATGCCATTTGACATCATTGTATGGGATGAATCTAGTTTTAGTTAAATTGTGATTTATCATAATTCCTGGAGGTGGGCTATATCGTGACCATATCCAATAGAAAATATCAAAACGTCAGTGTCAATTTCACGTTATTGTATGGGATAAATTTGGTTTTATTCAAATTGGGATTAATCAAAATTGCTGCAAGTGGACCCTAGATACATTAATGAACAAAATAGCAATTAGTTTATTATATTTTTATTTTTTAAGCATTTAACTGCTAGATAACTTAATCTAAACATTATTTTATTAAAAGAAATCTACGCGGTCTAGTGCAGCAGACGGACAGAGCTCGAACCTATAGATATGCAATATCTTGTTGTTTTTATTTATTCACTAATGTCTATTATTTCAAGAATTTAGAACATCTTTTATCTATTAGACAAGTCCGTAAGAGATAGATAAAGAGAATATTTAAGTTATAAGTTAAGAATAGTCTGATAAGACTACAAACCGGATTTGAGTAACGTAGCACTTCCGGTTTTCGAGAAATCAGGTTTTGGTGAACATTTGGTTCACTGGTTTGCTAGTAGTATATAAGTTATAATCTCCGATAAATATACCAGGTTACTAATGCAGGATGGACAAAGTTGAAAAAAGAACTATAAATATCTTTCACACACCAATTAGCTATTAAGTAAGCACTGAGACAGTAAGCACTCGATAGCGCAAGTGGTTACCGCGTTCGGCTGCGATCGTTGAAGTTAAGCAACTTTCGCAGCGGTCGGTCATTGGGTGGGTGACCAAAAAATTTACTATCTCGAGCTCCTCCGTGCTTCGAAAGGTACGTTAAGTCGTTGGTCCCGGCTGCATCTGCAGTCGTTAGCACCCACCAATCACTGGGCCCGCGTGGTGGGTCATGGCCCAAACTCCCTATTCCATCCATAGGGAAGGCCTGTACCCCAGCAGTGGGGACAATTATAGGCTGATGATGAAGCACTGAGAAACTCGTTAGCGCGTTCGACCTGCGATCGTGAAAGTTATGCAACTTTCATTGCATGGGTCACCTAAAACTTAGTATCTCGAGCTCCTCTGTGCTTCGGTAGGTACGTTAAGCCGTTGGTCCTGGCTGAATCTGCTGTCGTTAGTACCCACCAATTGGCACTGGGCTCGCAAGGTGGGTCACGGCCCAATTTCTGTAGTCCATTCATAGGGGAGACCTGTGCCCTAGCAGCGGGGACATCAACAGGCTGTGATGATGAAGCACTGTAAGTGACAAGGTTTCTCTTATGGTATACTGCGGTAACGGATAGAAATACATAAATAACGATACCTAGATAAGTATATTGAACACTCAGGACTGAGGTACAAACATGCTTGTATTTGTCATACAAACATTTGTACGAAAAATCCTCAGAGTAGGCGACAAGAAAGAAAAAAACTTATAAATACAAAATTTTAAAAAGATATTATTTTCCACTTTTTAGGGTTCCGTAGCCAAATGGCAAAAAACGGAACCCTTATGGATTCGTCATGTCTGTCTGTCTGCCCGTCCGTATATCACAGCCACTTTTTTCCGAAACTATAAGAACTATACTGTTGAAACTTGGTAAGTAGATGTATTCTGTGAACCGCATTAATATTTTCACACAATAATAGAAAAAAAAACAATAAATTTTGGGGGTTCCTCATAACTACTTAGATCAAATCATTTTTTCATCAAACCCATACGAGTTGGGTATCTATAGACAGGTCATCAAAAATGATATTGAGGTTTCTAATATATTTTTTTTTAAAAACTAAATAGTTTGCGCGAGAGACTTCCAAAGTGGAAAATGTGTGCCCCCCTCCCCCCTGTAACATCTAAAATAAGAGAATGATAAAACTAAAAAAATATATTGTCGTGTGGCGACAAAATAAATAGATAGGAAAAAAAAGTGAAGGAAAATCAAAAGAACAGTATAGGATATATATATTTACAAGAAAAAGTATTTACAATTAACAATATAAAAAAAATAGGGATATGGTGTGTGTGTGAAGTGTGGGGTGTGAAGTGGAAGTGGTGAAGTGGGCGTGGGTCGTCGGCGATCTTGTCCGTTGAGGCTTGAGGGTCTGGAGGACGTGCTGCTGGCAGACGGGCGGCACTCCTGGGAGGCAGAAGCGCTCCTGTTCCGGCGTCTCTTGATACTTGATTGGCCGGCGGATATCAGCCGGTGGTAGGAGCTAGTGGAACGGCAGGTGTCGGTAGAAAGCGGGCCGAAGCAGTTGGAGGCAGGCCGAGGTAGCTGGAGTCCGGGCAGCAGTCCCACCGATGAGGTTGCGAGTATGGTGAAGAGGATGAGAAGAGTAGAGTAAAGTAGTTAAGTTTAGAGAGCCAATAGGTGCTATAGAGCTTTGAGGTCTTTCTTGAGTCCCGGGGCAGTTGGCCCCGG